TGGATGGATGATGGATGGATGATGGATGGATGGATGGATGATGGATGGATGATGGATGGATGATGGATGGATGAATGGATGGATGATGGATGGATGAATGGATGGATGATGGATGGATGGATGGATGATGGATGGATGATGGATGGATGATGGATGGATGGATGGATGATGGATGGATGAATGGATGGATGATGGATGGATGGATGGATGGATGGACATGATTTATGATATGACGTGAAATGATATCATATATGGCATGATACATATATGATATAAGATAAGATAGAAGTTTATTGATCCCACAGGAAATTGTTGTGCCAGAGTCTCAGTACAAAGGAACATACACAAGAATCACAAGATATAAAGATAACAGAGAATTTAAAAAAGACAACAATTAAGTTCTAAACAGGTGCAGACAGAAACATTAGTTTATTGTAGTACAGGATTAATTTTATTGTCCTATGTGCAGAAATGGGGAGGAGTTGAAAAGCTTGATAGCCACAGGGAGCCAAGATGGCCGCACTCAGAGCAGTTGCAGCTTCACAGGCTCCCGGTACCATCCCAGTTTTTAGAAGTTTTGATATTGACTCTGTTCCCGACTCCGCACGATTTATGCGTGTGAACGATAGCCGAACCGAACTGATGAGAATAAGAGCGGATTTGCCAGGAAATATGGCAGAAATCAGCAACAAACTCAAAACTACACTCGGCAGAATGCAGATCTTAAAGTCATCTACCTGGAAGCTGCGGCAGAGGTGTTCCAATGGCAAAAGAGAAAACGCCAGGCTGTGTTTATGGTGAGGCTACGTGCTAACGCTAAAGCTGGAAAACTCCCGATGCCGTCTCTCTTTCTGTCGAACGTCCGCTCGTTGGACAACAAGATGGATTTGCTTCGTCTGAGAGCGGGCGCCTCAGAGGAGTTGATGAAGTGTGCGGTGCTTTGCCTCACAGAAACATGGATTACAAGTGAAACACCGGATTCAGTCTTCCAGCTGCATGACAGACTCTTTTTTCGAGCAGATCACTGCAGTGAGTTGACGGGGAAATCGAGGGGAGGTGGAGTTTACATTTAAGTGAGTAAAAGTTGGTGCACGAACTGTACTGTGGTTAAAAAAAAAACCTCACGCACAAAGGCTTTGGTGCAGCTAACAGTGAAATATCAACCATATTACCTACCCCGTGAGTTTACAGTGGCTTTCATAACAGTTGTTTACATAGCTCCGGATGCTAATGCTAATGAAGCTCTGCAGGAACTCCATGATCTTCTCGGCTTGCTGCAGAACAAACACCCTGAGGTTCTTTACATAGTGGTCAGAGACTTTAATCACGTGGATCTAAAAGACTGCCTCTCAAGATTTTACCAGCATGTGGTCATACCAACACGTGGAAACAACACGCTAGACAGTGAATGTAAAAGATGCATACAAAGCTGAACCCTGCCCCCACCTAGGACTATCGGGCCACATCTCAATATTCCTGACTCCTGCTTACATGTCCCCCACTGAGACGCTCCAGACCGGTACAAAAGAAAGTTAATTGTTAGATCCAGAACAGTGGCCCCATACTGAGAGATTGTTTTGAAAGAATAGACTGGGAGGTCTTCAGCGAATCTGCTGAAAATGAAGGAGCGCTAGATCTGGACCAATACACATCCTCAGTACTGGGTTACATTAGTACATGTACTGACACCATCTCCACTATCAGAAATGTTAAAAGCTACCCAAACAGAAAACCTTGGCTGAATGCAGAGGTGCGTACCCTGCTGGAAGCCAGGAACACTGCCTTCAGGTCTGGAAACTCAGAGGAGCTGAGTTGGACAAGAAAAGAGCTGGTTGCTGGTATTAAGAGGGCCAAGGCCACATATGCAAAGAGGATCGAGGGTCAATTCATCTCACAAGACCCTCGGAGCATGTGGAGGGGCATTAAGTGCATAACAGATTATAAAGGAAGGAGTGAACAATGCCCCAAAGACCCATCTCTGTCTGATGCCCTCAACAAGTTCTATACATGCTGCCTGCCCTGTCCAGGTGCGTGTAGGTTCTGTGTAGAAGGTAGATGATGGCATCATCAACTCCGATGCGTGGCTGGTATGCAAACTGGAGGGGTCCAGGTATGGTTCCATCACTGATCTGATGTGCTTCAGGACTAGCCTCTCCAGTGACTTCATGGCATGTGATGTGGTATGTGATGACAAGGCCACAGATCTGTAGTCACTGTGTGAGTTTGGGTGGTTATTTTTATATATGTTACTGTATATATGTTTATGATATGGACTTATCTCTGATATTTGATATATGATATGATGTGATATATAACAGACTATATTATCATATGATATGATATGTGTTATATACAGTACGATATCTCATATATGACATAACATGAGATATGATATGACATGATATATGATATCATATTTAATATTTTATATATGATATTATATGATATAATATTACATACATCCTGTTGTTAGTTTTCTACATTTGTCTTGGAATCTAGCTGTTTTTTGTTTTGTTACCTTTTCCTTTTAGCCATCCTATTTGTTAAAAAAAAAAACTGTAGTATGCTTTTTTTATAACTGTTTATTGTTGTTGCTGTTGTCCATTGTTGTCATCTTTCTTTGTTGAAATCAGGTCTCTCTTGTAAATGAGTCCTCGAGGCTCAATGGGATTTACCTGTTTAAATAAAGGTTGATTGATACATGGAGGAGTGGTGGCGCAGAGGGTTAGAAGATGGGCTTGTGATCGGAAAGTCGTAGGTTCACCTCCCGGTACGGTCAACATCAAAATGTGGGTGGAAAAGATGAAACACCCACACTTGCCCCCACCCTCATTCGCCCCACCCTGGGCCCCTGAGCAAGGCCCTTAACCCCCACCATCTGCTCCCTAAACAGGTCTCTCTTGAAAATGAGTTCTCGTGGCTCAGTGAGACTACCTGGATAAATAAAGGGTCAATTAAAAAAAAACCAAAAAAAAACACAATGTATAATTCAGTTCAGTTCAGTTTATTTATAAAGCACCAAATCACAACAAAGTTGTCTCAGGGACTTTACAGGAACATTCACATAAAAGCCAGTTAGTAAAGTTCTCTATCTGAGGAATCCAGCAGACAAGTTGAATCTTGGCTTCGTTGCAGTCTCCCATCCTGAGCAAGCACAGTGGCAACAGTGGAAAGAAAAACTCCCTTTAACAGGAAGAAACCTCCAGCAGAACCAGCTCAGGACAAGAGACCATCTGCTTTGACCGGCTGGTTGAGAGGACAGGAAGGAGAGACAGACCAACACAGAATGGTAGGTTCAGGTATAGGTCCAGGTCCAGGTATAGGTCCAGGTCCAGGTATAGGTCCAGGTCCAGGTATAAGTTCAGGTCCAGATATAGGTCCAGGTCCACATATAGGTCCAGGTGTACCTGAAAGACAAAAAAAAAAACCACATGTTAAAGATAGAAAAATAATTACAAATACCAAACAGGTAGAGCAGAGTAAGTAAAGACAGTAGCAGAGTGAAAAGTGTGGTCAGTTTGTCCTCCAGCAGTCTAAGCCTGTAGCAGCAGAACTAAGGTCGTTTTCACACCAGATAGTCCGGTAGACTCGGTTCGGTTCTGGACCAATATTCATGACCTTTTGTTACATTTGAGCTGGTGCGTTTGCATTCACACTGCACTGTGCAGTCGAGTCAACCTGTTGAACCAACCTGTTGAACCAACCTGTTGAACCAACCTGTTGAACCAACCTATTGAAGCAACCTATTGAACCAACCTGTTGAAGCAACCTGTTGAAGCAACCTGTTGAAGCAACCTGTTGAACCAACCTGTTGAAGCAACCTGTTGAACCAACCTGTTGAACCAACCTATTGAAGCAACCTATTGAAGCAACCTATTGAACCAACCTGTTGAA